TTCACATATAAGTGATTTTGAAAATGAAATATTTTCCTTGATATACACTTTAAATCTATGCAGAATTCCACAAAATCTTAGATTTTATTTTTTATGTCATTTCTTGTGTGTCATATAATATGAGCTGTCAGAACTTCGACTTCTCAATAATATCGAAGATCTCTCCTATTTGGGGGTTACTTTTGTCACTGCATTTCTTAAGGGTGTTGGGTCACGGTCTGTCGGTTGTGCTTCTAATAAAGCCGATTTTACCGATGTCTTAGCTTGGTTCTCCATTTTCTCTCTTTTTTCATTTATTTATTTTTGTGCGCCAGACATTTGTCATTTGCTTGTCAAAAAATTCTAGAGATTATTAAAACGAGTGGAATATGAAATAAATCTTACTTCCAAATCGTTTTCTAGCAATAAATTATTAATTGATTTAATGTGAGCATGATATTGTAATAGTTTCAAGACCGAGGCTGTGATATCTGCCGAAGACAAGATACATTTATTCGTTTCTTTAAGACTGAGATCAAAAAGAGAGGAAACGTGAGCTAGGGATTTATCACTTGCAGAAAACCTACAGTTCACACGCTATCAGGGATTGGTGATCTTAAATGTTCTCGGCCAATCAGAGGCAAGATATTGAGTTGAATGTATATAATGATAAATAAAAATAGCCCCTCGCTTCAAAGACTGCCAGAGGTGACATCTCTGCTATGAAAACGAGCTTGGTTCATGTATGGTTTACGGTTATGCCTGCCTCTGTTTACACAGACAAGACGGCTTATCAAGGTATTTTATAATTGGTATTTTAATTAAATCATTTGTAAGCCAACGTTTGTCTATTATATCTTTATATCTAGGTTTTAGTTCTCTAATAGGAAATACACAAAAATAAATTAAACGTATGTTGAACACCGTAGAAGAATGGAATTCTTAGTTTACTGATTCCCTTCGTCGGAGAAAACTGTTTCGATTTTTGGAAGATTACTCAACATCTTATACTTTTCTGCTGTATAAATGATTAGGTTTGAACATTTGATTTCGTTAAGAAGGAGTAGTAGTAGTAGTAGTAGGAGTATCTCTCACATCTGGGTCTCGAATTTGATTCCTGGACTGGCAGTAGTGTAGAGTAAGTCAGGTTTCTCTCTTCAGTGAGTTTTTCCCGGGTTCTCCGGTTTTCCTCCCTACGCAAAACCTGACACGTTAAATTTCAATTCGATCTGTGAATTAGCCATGCCCCGACTTTTATCGGCAGCCCAGAGGTTGTTTCAGGGTATCGATCTGTGAATTAGCCGTGCCCTGACTTAGATCAGCCCAGAGGTTGTTTCAGGGTATCGATCTGTGAGTTAGTCGTGCCCTGACTTGGATCAGCCCAGAGGTTGTTTCAGGGTTTAATCTGTGAGTTAGCCGTGCCCTGATTTTATCAGCCCAGAGGTTGTTTCAGGGTATCGATCTGTGAATTAGCCGCGCCTTGATTTTAATCAACTCAAAAGTTTTTTCATGGTATCGATAAAATTTGAAGGTTTTTTTTTCTTAGCCTGAAAAAAGAGTAAACAACAAAAGGAACAACTTCCTTAGCAACTGTTTCGCACCTCTTCATTTCCGATCTTTTGTCACATCTTTGTATTTCAATAAAACTTTTGAAGTTTTTGTATAAGATATGAATAACTAGTGATTTTATCACCTGATATTGACCGTCTATATGATATCGTAAATCTGTCTTAACTGACAAAGACAATGGATGGTGAAAATGACTTGAAGCCTCGGAAAAATTCCAGATTTTGTTGATAGTATAATTTCACCCACTTGGAAGACGGGTTGACAGATTTTTTTTCTTATTAACTATCACTGAACAAATTAAACATTTTGACATTTTCCCATAATTATTATTTCCATAAACTCTACGATGTTTACGATGGATTTAAAACTACTAATGTATATCAATCTTTTTTTAAGCTCACCTTATATAATTGTCGGCCTTCTTCTACATCGAAACTGCAAAAAACAAAAAGTTTGTCTTTATTTTCGGGTTAATTTTAGGATTTGACAATCACACAGTATTTAAAAACAAAATAGTTTCCAGAATTATATATTTGTCTGCAGTAACACTGAAGTGTCATTAAGGGAATATTAAACAAAATTAAACATAAATTCCTATAAAATTAACCAGACAATCAAGAAAAATGAAAAATTGGATGATTGTCATTTGGCAAGAAATAGAGAAATATCTCTCCTCCCAAAAGCAATTAAAAAAACCAGACATACAGTGCAAAGATGACTGAGTTTCAAGGCTCAAAAATGAGAAAAAACTTCGAACCTCTTATCACTAAAGTGCCCACTGCCATATTCTTACCAACCAATTAAAAAAAACCCAAGACATTCATTGCAAAGATGACTCAGTATAAAGGCTCAAAAATGAGGAAAAAAGTAACTAAAATGTCCTCTGTCATACTTAAGTGTTTCTTACACCTCTCCTCTCCCAAACCCAATTACGATAGCAAGACATACAGTAGGAATACGGAGTATACGTAAAGGGCTCAAAAATTAGGAAAAACTTCAAGCCTCTTATCACTAAAGTGCCCACTGCCATATTCCTTCCAACCAATTAAAAAACAAGACATCCAGAGCAAAGATGATTAATTAAAGGCTCAAAAATGAGAAAAAACTTTGAACCTCTTATGAGTAAAGTGTCCTTTGCCATACACATACTCAAGCGTCTCTTACACCTCTCCTCTCCTCCCAAAACCAATTACGATAGCAAGATATGCAGAAGAATTGTGGAGTAAAAGGCTCAAAAATGAGAATATAACGTCCAACCTCTTATCACTAAAGTGTTGTCTGACATACACATACTCAAGCGTCTCTTACACCTCTCCTCTCCTCCCAAAACCAATTACGATAGCAAGATATGCAGNCTTATCACTAAAGTGTTGTCTGACATACACATACTCAAGCGTCTCTTACACCTCTCCTCTCCTCCCAAAACCAATTACGATAGCAAGATATGCAGAAGAATTGTGCAGTAAAAGGCTCAAAAATGAGAATATAACGTCCAACCCCTTATCACTAAAGTGTTGTCTGACATACACATACTCAAGCGTCTCTTACACCTCTCCTCTCCTCCCAAAACCAATTACGATAGCAAGATATGCAG